CCAATGTGACAGACTAAGACAGGAGGGCTTAGTGTAAGATTGGGGTGCAACAGGAGAGGTGAATAGGAGATTTGGGGTATCAAAGTAGAGGGACTTCCCAAGGAATAAGATTGGTCCTGGTTTTCAGTCATCTCTGCAAGAAGAAGAGGAGGCGAACTGCTTCAAACTTCTAATAGCATCTGATGCTCTTGACCTTTTCCTTGCAGTTTGCCTTCCCAGCTGCATTCTCACTAACCTCTCTGGCTTTCTTATCTTTCTGGCCACCCTACCTCAGTCTTCTTTGCCAGCTCCTATGTGAATGTCGACATTCCCTCCTTCTATTAGGGCCAGGCCCTCTTCTCATCTCTTTCTCCTTCATCTTTGCTCTCTTAACCAGAAAACCAATCTGGGTCCATGACCCTGAATAGCATCCCTGTGCTGACCACTCCCTGTTCTCTTCTCCAAATCTGACTTCTCTGGACTCCAGACTTTTATCTAACTGCCTATTTGACATGTAGCTCTACTTGACTCTCCAAGCACTATCTCAAAGTAACCATATCCCAAACTAAACTCTTGAGTTTAGTTGCTTAAACTTGCCTGATTCACCTAGTCCTCTCCAATGTGGAAAATGGCTCATCTTGCCAGCCATCCAGAGGTGTAAGCCAGAAACCCGGGTGCTGTCCTTCATACCCTCTCTTTTTCACTACATTGATCAGGGTAGCCTAGATGAGCTGCAGTACACCTCAGAACCTTAGCACAATAACTTTTTTGTTCACATGTATCACAGATCAGTGTGGTCAGCAAAGGTGGCAGATGAGATTCGACTCTGTAAAGTCACACAGGGATCCAGTCTCCTTCCGTCATGGAACATGGCCATTCTCAACATGTGACCTCCAAGGATGCTGCAGGAAGAGAGAGAAAGGATGTGGAATGTTGTAGAGACTGTTGTCACTTCCATCCACTTGCCATTGGCAATAACTCAGTCCTATAAGACTGAGGATTACCAACGGCACTTGGTACATTCGCTGGCCCTGTCCATCAGTCTGTCACTGAGCCCTGTTATCTTACCTTCAGACTCTCCTATAGAGAGCTAACTCCTTTACATCTTAGCTGCCAAGGGTCCAAATCTAGCCCCTCCAACCTTCCCTGGACTACTGCCATGTCCTTACAGACATGTCCTATTCTGCTTTTCTACTCTTGAAATATAGTAACTTCCCACTCAGCCAAATCAAATCTCGTGAGACCTTGTTATAAAACCCATCTGTGGAAGGCAGACTAATACCCTCTTCCCAACGATGCCCACATTCCAACCCCAAAGCCAAGAAAGACCCTTTGCCCTCTGAGGTAGCATATTCACAATTTGGAGGGTGAAGCTGAAAGTTCCAACCCTCTAATCCCAAGGTTCCTCTGGCAACCAGCCCCCACCTTCCAATAGTCACCTCATTAGCATAAACTCAGGTGGGGTTGACAGGTGCTTGTGAATAGCAAAAGACACTCCTTCCGCTCCATCACTGGAAATTCCAGGCATCAGGAAGAAAATGAAACGTGTTTCTTACTATGTTACAATATCGTGTCCCCTAAATTCAGATACTGGCATTTGGACCCTAGTATTATTATGTCTAATTCTAAGCTGTCCACCTGCCTTGGGGTGCAGGAATAGTTCCTAGGACCTTTAGCCTCTGGAGGAGATCCAGGCTGAGGCATAAGGAGCATGAGGGGGGCCGTCCAGTGTATGTCTGTGCTGGGCCATGTGGTGGGGTTGAATGGGTTTGGCAGATGCCCCTTGGGAAGTTTTTGTCTTGGCAGTGGGGGTCAAGGAAGCCCACCCCAGGGTCCCCAACATCCATTCCCAGCCTGTCTTTTGGGTACTAGAGGATCCCAAATGAATCTCTGTTTCAGGTCACTCTGTGTTGGGAGTATCCTCAGAGATACCCAGCCCTCATGTGCACATAGGGAAACTGAGTCAGTGTGTGAGGGGGGCTGTGGGTGGAGGTGAAGACTTGCCAGGGTTCTGCAGTCCTGCAGTCCTTGGCAAGAGACTAGAACACAAGTCTTGTGGCTGCTGTGTAGGTGCTGAGGGACACTCTGCCCTTTCCCTCCCACTACTCTCAAATGCAAGCTTCCCAAATTGTATTCTGCACCCTGTAGCCCTGGGCCTGATGCGCCTGGCACATGGCAGATACGCAGTAAATAGCTGTTAAGAGAATGAGTCATTGGCTCTGCTTTCTTTCCTTTCACCTCCAACCTGGAAGCCCCTCTCTCTGTGTGCCATCATGCCGGAGCCCTGCACCCACCCTGCCTTCAGCCCTCGTGACTGCTCACTCTTTTTAAAGTGCTGTGACCCCAGGATTGTCAGCTGGCAGTAGCAGCTGGTTGTGCCAGGGCTTAATGTTCCCCATTAAGGGAGCATCTGTTGGCTGGGGCTCTCAGGGCATGGACCAGACACAGCCACGCTCTACAGCCGTTCCATGGTCAACACGGCCTGTGGCGGAGACGTGCCCCTGGGTGTCTTTCAGGACATGATGTCATAACCAGCATGTGCTGGCTGGACATCCTGCTGTGGTGGATGGACAAGAATCATCAATAACTGGCCTGTTGCAGTACGACGTGGGATCCAGTTCCCCTCAATTGGGCCCAGTGTCCTAGGCCTGTTGTCCTATGAGCTTTCTGTAGTGTTCCCTCCTCCCACGCCTCATCATTCTGGGAGCAGAACGCTGTAGGCCAATTCCAGAAGAACCAGGTCTGAATTCCAAGAGACAGCATTTTCTGCCTTGGAAGCTGTGGGCACCTACTGGGTCTATACAGCTCCCGAACATTAGTCATGGACCCAAACAGTCTGTGAGCATATGAGGCCTACCCAGTCTCCCTTCCCTGCCTAGCTCCTGCCCAGGCCTCCCCCGCCTTGTCAGCTGCCCTTCAATGACCTTTCTTCATCCCTGCTGGGTTCTGTCTTATCTCCCCACCTGGGCATCTCTCAGGGAATGAGTCCCAGGACACCTGATTGAAAGGATGAGATGAGTGATGGCAACAATGGCCAGCTGCCCTGGCGAGGTGGTGCTCTTCTGGAAGCTTCACATGTACGACTTTATTCATCCTCACAGCTGCCCCCCAAGGTGGGGCCCTGTCGAACGGCCACTGCTGGCTCTCCCTCACTGGCAGAGAAAGCTTCTCCAAAGTGCAGGTTTATATTGCTCAACAGGATGTGGGCCCTCTCCAGAAACTGAGCTCTGCTCTTGGAAACGGCACACTTCTGCCTCCCTCCCCCGCCTTCGCTCCGCCTTCCCTCACCGCATGCGCTTCTTTTGCCCACTCTGTAAATACGAGGGTCCTGGGGTTTCCCTTCTCACTTTGTGTTCTTCTCACTTAGCGCTCTCTCCCTGGGCGAACTCCTATCCCACGGCCTCAGTGTGAAGAGCAAGGCTGGGCTTTAGAGATCATGTTAAGGGGTCAAGGGTGATGGGATCGCTGATGGTTGTGGGCTGTAACCCCCCTGGCCAGAGAACTTTTGAAAAGATAGAGGTCACAGCTGTATGGGGTTGAGGGAGAAGGCCTCAGGGAGGCTGCTGTCACCATGGTCCTGGTGAAAGGGAGCTAACCCTTAACTAGGCGGGGTGAGGGGATGGAGACAAACTTCCACAGCTAATTGGAGGTCAAGCCAGCAGGACATGGTGAGCGATTGGAAATGGAACATGAAGGAGGAGGAGCCAAAACTGGGGTTGAGACAGGAAACCAGATTTTAGTGGAAGATGCTGAGTTGAGTTTTGGACATGCTGCTGCATGTGTTTGGATTGTCTTTGGCCCTCAAGACAGGGGTGTCCAGCTGGCAACTGGCCTTGGGAGGCAGCCCTCGAGTGCAGGAGACGGGATGTGGAGTTGTCCATGTATAGTTCTGTCCTGTGAGCCGGGTGACCCTGCCCAAGGTGAGTGGGACAGGAGGCCAAGGGCAGCAGTTGCCAGCACACTCCAGATGAGTGTAGCCTGGTGGCTGGTGGCCCAGGCACGAGGCATTTCAGTGGAGGCGGGGACAGTCAGATGAAGGAGAGAAGCATGAAGGAGAGGAGAGGAGGTAGGGATCAGGAATGCAGAGAACTTCACGTAGAGCCTGGCAGTGGCCCAGAAAGAGAGTACATGACAGAAAGAGGGGTCACAGTGGTCTCTGTGTTTCCAAGTCCCCAAATCTGGTGGGCAGGCTTGCCATCTTCCTTGCAGTGGCTCGTGGCCAATGAGTCACCAATCTTGAGGCTTCTTCTAGGCTTGTCCTTGCTCTTTCATCCCTCAGCATTCCCTCGATGTGGGGTGGGGCCACAGGAGTGACTTCTGCTGTGGTCTCTGCCTCCCTCCATCTTTTTGAGCTCAGCATCCCTTTATGAGTCTAGGCTTTGACCATGCAGTCCTCTGCCCAGATGACTTTCCTCTTGTTCCATCTGGTCAATATGTGCTCTTCCAGCGCCATGTCATCACAGCTCCAGTATGCTATGACTTGAAAGGCCACTAGGGACCCTGGAGCATCACCCCAAGGCTAGACAGTTCCTGCACCCATTCTCCTAAGAGGAAATGACCAGTGAGGAGATGGATATGACGCAGACCCCACGGTATTGGTAGAGGCTGGGAGGACAGGAGGAGCTAGTGCAGGGTCATGTGGGCGGGGTGTGACAGAGACCTCAGGCTCTCATTCTTAGGGATTCCACCCTGACTGGCTGCTGGTCTGCTACCCTTTCTCCAAAACCCTGCCGGACTGTGGGAGGGCAGGATCCTGTGGGGCTGTGAAAAATCAGATGATGTCTTCCTTCCCACCGCAGGGGGTCCTGAAAGTTGCAGCTCCTCTTTGAGAGTAAGACTTGCCTTCCCTCCCCTTAAACTACTCCCCCTGCAAGGACCTGACTCTAATGCACTTGTGTGTGTGCGTGTGTGTGCACGTGTGTGCTTGCATTTGTGTATGTATGCACATGTGCATGTGTGGGCATGCGTGTGTGTGTATATGTGGGACCAGGGCCCTGCTTACAATGGCTTTTCCCCCACAGGCTGCCCTGGAATGTGGGACAACATCACGTGTTGGAAGCCTGCCCAAGTGGGTGAGATGGTCCTCGTCAGCTGCCCAGACATCTTCCAAATCTTCAATCCGGACCAAGGTGTGTCTCCCTGATGCTCCGCCTCCTGGTCCTCTTCAGACCACGTTTGGTCTAGTCTGCACGCCACACTCAGGCCCCAGGCACCCAGCACGCAGAGCCCCCTGCAGGCAGATGTTTCCTGCTGCAGCCTTCGTGTGCTGGTGGAGGCTGAAACCTAAACTCCTGTGCACTCGGGACAAAAGCACCCCTTGGACAAGGCTCCCAGGTCCACGTGGAGATGTGCATTGTGGGCGGAGCAAGACTGTGCTCTCAAATGTGGACTTGATCACTTACCCAGATGGAGACCTTGGACAAGGCAGTTCCTCCTTCTCTGCCCACTTCCCTAGTCTGGCAATGGGAGTGTGAAGTGGCCACTGTGGGCGCCACGGGCAATGACGCTTGTGGAAGTCACTTTGCACAGAACCGGGTCTATTTTACTGTTTGATGGTGTTAGTTGATGCTATTACCATTGTTACTCACAGAGATGCTCAGAGGCCTGGACACACACACACACATACACACACACACGTGTGCGTGCATGCTTATGCACATGACACGCTCACAGGCAGCTAGACCCCAGACATTGCCCATGTTCACACTCTCCCAACCATTTAGATTTGGGCACAGCGCCCCAGACCAGTGCACTGGAGCACAGCACACTGTGTTCAGCAAAGCAAATTCTTGGTCCTTGCAGCCCTCAGGCAGCTGTGAGGGTTCAGGATAGGAAAAGCTGGGGTCCTACCCCCTCTACTCTGCGGAGACCCTGGGCTGCCTGTGGAGAGGCCGCTGGAGCCATGGAGTGTGGTGGCACCCACCTTGCAAGTGGTCACTTGTGGGGTCAGATAAGCTCAGTTTGGGGGCATGTCTGTGTTTGAGGTCTCAGGCACCATTGAAGTGATGTACAGATATTCAGAGGCCCCAGACTGATTTGGGGATCCTCAGGTGGACAGTGGCTGAGCTTTGTGACTCCAGATGTGGAGAGGAGGGGCAGGGAAGAGGGCATTGTGCTGCCTTGAGAGGCTTTCACTACCGCATCTCCATGAGCGGGCTTGAGAGGAAGGGGTGTCTGTGGAGCTCTCCTGTGGGCGGGAATCTGGTGGGCATTCCAAAATAGTTCCCATCTTTTGACTGAGGCCTTGTGGACCCAGAAAAGTTTTGCATGGGCCAGTCTACACTGACCCTCGGAGAAGCCTAGAACCAGACCCTGGCCCTCCCCCACTTTCCCTCTCTGCCCCCCTCCCCACCCCTTTCCCTGATACCCACTTGGGTATCAGGGGAAGCAGGGCACCATGGCAGGGCTGGCCAGCAGGGGACAGTAGGGCTGTGCTGGAGGTCAATGGTGTACTGTGAACCACTCCCTGACTACTGAGCCCGAGTTGGACTCTTGGTTGCAGAAGCATGGAGGCTGGGGGTCCCTGCAGGGCAGAGGGGTTCGAGTCACGGTGTGACTGTGCACAGGTCCCTGTGGCCTGGACTCAGCTTCCTCCTTCACCTGCTTAAGTCTTCTGAAGATGCCCTTCTAGAAGTGGGAAGTTTCCAGGCTTTGCTCTACTTTTGGGTTCCTGCCTGCCTCTGTACCAGTCCTGTTTGTGAGGGGCAGAAGGCAAATTCCCTTTCAAATCTGAAACCCAGACTTTGACTCTGCTCTGGAGGGGAGGCGCTGGCAGGATGTGGCAGGGGAGATAGTGGGGTGATGTTGGAGTCCCAGGTCTCCAGTTTGGCTCCCACCCCAAGAGCAGAGCAAACAGTGGCTATGATGTGGCCCACCTCATCTCTCTGGTGAGGCTGGGGCAAGTGCCAGTTCAGGAGGAGAACGGCAGTTAATGGCCTCCACTTGACAACTCCTAGGGGGTATGACCCAGAGCAGGACAGGAAGTGAATTTGGGAGGAGACAGATGGGGAAGTTGCTGAAGTGAGAGGTACATGGTAAATGGTGTGTGACAGGCAGCTGGTGAGTCAGCCCTACCTCTAATTCATCCTCTTAGAAACCAACTTCATCACTTCCTCCATTACCTACTCCTTTCTGTCATTTATTTAAGGTTTATTGAACATCTACTGTGGGTCAGGTACCATGGCAAGATTGGATCTTTTCAACTGCAACAAAAAGACAAAATGAATAGCAATAAAATAAGATTTTCTTAAGATAAACTTTGCTTCAGACGCCATCCCTCCCTCTGGCAATTGTACAATAAACGTGTTATTCACATTGGATTCTTAATGGTTCATTAAGACAGGAACTTTTAGCATCTCTATTCACACAGCTAGATTAGTGAGACTTGCCTTAAATACTTAGAAAGTTGAGAATGACATTTCACATTGTATTTCTTGGTTTTCAGGTGTTATGTTTATTGTAATAGCTGTGCTTTGCAGACGGTTGGGCATGCAGACACACTGATCTCTCCTCTTCTCAGATGCCTCTGCTCACTTCTCTTTAACTGTGTCCGATGAAGGTGGAAGAATCTGGTGGCCCACAGACTTCTGGGCCCCCCAGCACAGAATATGTCCATTTTGGGAGTGGGGAGGGGGAGGAGGAGGGAGTAATCAGCAGGGTCTAGTGAAAGCAAACCCCAACTTCAGCCCCCTTGCTCACCTCTGCTTTCTCTCTCTCTCTTTCAGTCTGGGAGACCGGAACCCTCGGTAAGTAGAACCCTGTTAATGACAGACTGCTGATCCTTTGTTTATCTGGCCAACCAGTGGGAGCCCAGCTCTGATTGCTGTGTTGAGTGAGGGTAGAATGGGAGACTCATCAGGGACCATGTTTTTTCTCTCTCCTTCTTAACCACCTGGAGGGAAGGGGAGGGAGAACACACAGGAAGATGGAAGAACAGCCCTTGGTGATCATGTTTGGGACAATCTAATTTATCTCTGGAGGGATGTATTTAGATATATGCAGACCTAAACATGTACTGAGCCCACATAGATAAGTAGACATTTCCAATGACCAAGAAGTTGGAATATACACCAAGTGCAAAAGCAGAAGAGACCTAATTGTGGCAGCCTGGAGACATAAAAATAATGAGGAAGTCAGGGCAGGCTTCCTGGAGGAGGTGGCATGTCCATTGGACCTTGAAAACAGGACTTTGAGAAGTAAAGGGGAAATGGGAGTTTATTGCTCATGGGATTCAGCATAGGAAAAGGGTGCAAATGAGAATAAAGGGTAGGGAGAGAGAGAGAAAACGCATGAGGATGAAGTCTTTGGAGTTCTGAGTTCCTTTGATGAGAGTGGTTTGGGGACTGCAATGAGAATTGAGCATCAAAGAAACACACACCCAGGACCCTTGTCATCATTTTCCATTCCCTTCACTTTCTCTTCTACCCTGGAAACCCTCCTATCTTCCTGACAATGGCCCATTGCCATATCCTGTGATCCAGGAGGAGAATTGAGTCATTGGCCATCACTAACATAACAGATATACAAAGCAAATGAGATTGGCCTTAGAAGATCCAGTGCGCCAGAAAATGTGTAAGGTGCTGCCCCTTAGCTGAGATGGGGTCCCTGTCCTCTAGCCTAGGGGCAGTCTTAGCCTTCCAGGGTGGAGCGTGAACAGTGGATGGCCCTGGAAAGCTGATAACTGGATGTTCCGACTCATTCCCGCATTCTTTGTTTTGCAGGAGATTTTGATGATTTCATTGAAAGTAATTCCTTGGCCCTTTCAGGTAAGGGACAACTGGGGTAGAGGGTGGACTGGCTGGAGGGAGGCATTTATGGATATGGGAGCTTTGTGGCCATTTTTGAAAGTCACAGATCTCCTAAAGCCTTGTCCTGGACTCCAGGCTGGGTGAGATGGACGTGTGATGTTTTGAACTCTGACATGTATAGTGTTCTCAAATTTTAATTATGATCATAGTAGCCCAGTTGGATTGTTAAAGCCCAATAGGTCCCTGGGCCCAACCGCAGAGTCTCTGATTCCATAAACCTGCAATGGGGCCTGAGAACGTGCATTTCTAGCCAGTCTCCCAGGTAATGCTGATGTGCTTGCAACCACTTTGAGAACCACCTCCCTAAGATTCTGTGTTGCTGGGGCAGAGAAACCCAGTGAAATAGGCACAGCCAGTGTGGAGTTTTGACAATCTGCAAAGCTCTCCATCTTCCGGAGATTGCAGTGAGAACAATAGAATGGCAAATTCAGAAAATAGATCTGAACAAAAGGGGTTTATACTTTTCTCAGCCCACACTGTTTTATGGAAAAGAAAAGGAAAGGAGGAAAATAAGAGAAAGGAAATGGCCTCTACCTCTACGACACTTTTTAAGAAATTGTTTTTCAGAGCAGCTCCCTCTCCTTTTCCTACCACTCTGATGTAGGCAAAGCAGAGAAATGAGGCCCGGGAAGGGGAAGAAACTTGGCCACAGCCAGGATCCCCTAGAGTGTGCGTACTTTGGAAAGCAGTGTTCAGAGGGACTTGGAAGGAGCAGCCTGTGATGGCTTTGCCAGAAGAAGGAACAGTTTGTTGGGACGGAGGAGCTCCTCTCTCCGTGGGTCTGCCAGATGCCTTCCTTGTCCTGTGTCGTGGGACGCAGAATTCAGAAGAGACAGAGACCAGCCTCCCCGTCTGGCAGAGAGCTCTCTTATGCAGGGTCGCCCTCCCTCTGCTGCTTCCCACAGCCCAGCAGGCACAATTCTGACTCCCTCGGATAACAAGAATGGGCCTTAGATCTTTCAGCCCAACGGGCGAGGACACAAGGTTGGAAAAGTGGAGGAGGAATTGACCCTCTTAGCTTCCACCTTCACCTCCTTCCTGAGGTGTCCTTGGCCACAGAAGGGATATTTTTCTAGCAATATGGGTGCTGGAGCCCCTTTTCTGCAGATGTCTCTTGTTTTATGCAATTTCCTGGTCCCTGGATCCTATGAAGGGAAGTCCCTGCTTATGTGCCCTGATACACCAGGTGAACCCCAGGGTGTTGTTCTGGGAACAGGGATCCCTCTGGGACCACACTCAGGACCTGGCCTGGAGCCAGATGGGATTGTGGCCTTCTCCCCTCCTCCGGATTTGCGAAGCTCACCCCTGTCATTTGTGGGATTAGGAGGAGGCTGAGGAAGCAGTCAGTAAATACTCCAATAGCCCGAGGCGGGGTGAAAAGCAGCCTGGCCTCCACTCTGCAGCCAGCAAATGACTCCCGCCTCCCCGTGTTCCACAAAATTGCCTTTAAAGTTCATCAAACGAAAATTAAAGTCCATTAGTGACAGGAAATAGACCTCCAAACCTGGAAAGGCGAAATTTTTTTTTTTAAAAAGTCCTAAATATATGTTTTAATAAGATCTAGTGCTACGTTAATGGAGGTCTGGTCCTTGTTAATTAAGCAGGCCTTGTGTCCCCGTGGTGCTGGCTGTTGCAGCTGCTTGGAGGCCCAGAGCTCCGAGTGAAAGCAGCACCTAGAGTGTGTTTCTTGAGGTGTGAAGGGAACTCCTGCCTTGCCATCACCTGAGGGGTGAGGGGATTCCTGAATGGAGAATCTCTGTGTGAGGTGATGGGCTACGTGTACCTCATCAGTAGGGCAGAGCAAGGAGGTCAAGATGCCACCCATTTTGAGTTTAGTCCTCTGGCAGGTGGGTGCGTGGGTGGGTGGGAGACAGAATCTGCATTTGTGGCCGCAGGTACTCTGTATACACGGAAGTCTGACCAGTGCTGACTTGGGCCTACAGAAGGGGCTGAGGCCTCCACATATGACTGCTCCGGAAGGAGAGGTGTAGGGGAGTTGGATTCAGCCCATTCAGGGGCCTTACCCTTAGTTAAGACATGAGCTTGTGCCCTGTGCTCCCCACTTCCACCCCCAGTCTTAGTAAATGCTGAACTTGAGGTCATAGCAATCACTGTTTTCCCTCAGACTGTGGGGAATTTCTTGAATCTTCAGTTGCTGTGTTTCCCAGATGGACATATGGGACTCCTTCTAGGAATTCCCACTTAAGAAGTATTTTTGAATAAGAAATTCAGGGCCCCTGAATCATTCCCATGCCTCACTGAGTTTTCATTTTCACTGCAGACAGGAGGGTGGTGAGCCGGAACTGCACGGAATATGGTTGGTCGGAGCCATTCCCTCATTACTTTGATGCTTGTGGGTTTGAGGAATATGAGTCGGAGCCAGGGGACCAGGTGAGGGTCTGCCCTACCCCTGGAGGCATTGAGGGCCAGGCTGTGGAGGCTAGATGGAGGGGTATTCCCAGCAGGGACCTTGAACAACAGGAAACTCAGGTCCCTAGGTAGATTCAGGAGTGCTGTGCACCCTGGCAGGATGCCAGGACTTTTAGTCACTCACCAGGGCTGAGAAGCAGCTGGTTTGCTGCATGGGTCCTTCAGACTCCCACCATGTGGCCCCTACCTTTCTGGCTACTCTGCCAGGACCCCTAACAGTCTTCTGTTCTAGCGACTGAAGGTTTGGGCCAGCCAGGGGCCTCCTGGACCTCTGTCCAGCCTAAGACTGCTGTCTGTTGTGATGGATCTGCGCTCTGCATTCAGCCAGCGTTGAGTGAGCATCTGCAGAGGGAGGCCACTGCAGAAGGAGAGTGCAGCTCAGCAGGGGCTGGGGTGTGGGTGGGGGGTGGTGCTCATAGTGGTGGTGGTTCAGATGAGGAAGCAGAGGAGGTAAGACCAACAGGAAGAGAAAAGGAAAGAGGCACTGCACTGTAGGCCCAGAGGTGGGCAGGGCCTGGCCTGGAAGATCATGTGGACCAGAGGGGGCTGGGGTTGGAGGCATGACCCTTGTGGAGCCTGCATATTCTGTACCCTGCTCCAGGATTTCTACTACCTGTCGGTGAAGGCTCTCTACACAGTCGGCTACAGCACGTCCCTGGTCACCCTCACTACTGCCATGGTCATCCTGTGTCGCTTCCGGTGAGACCCCCAGCTGCGCTGGTGTGAGCACAGCCCATCCTGGTTCAGAGCCCTTGCTGTGTCCCTCTGACCTCCCCCCCCCACCGACTGGGGCTCCCTTGGAGATCATTGCCCCTACCCTGGGCTAACAGATGGGAAGCTTGACCTCCAAGAGGGCAAGTAGCTTGTCCAGGGCCACACAGCAAGGCAGACCCTGGGCAGGACACCAGCATTCCTCACTTTGATTTTCCTGATCTAGATAGAGAGAGGTCATAGGTAGGAGAAGTGTGACTATGCCAGGTAGGAGTCTAGGTCACAGGGGCCTGAAAATGAGGATTTAGAGAGGTGGGAGGAACGGGGTGGTCTAAGTGGTCTAACTGGGGGATCCTGTTGAGACAAAGCCATGGACTTGGCCCAGAGTACACCTGGGTGGAGGGTTGGAATGCTGTGGGGATCCCTTGCTTCAAAACCTCTTCCTTCCCTGGTTGGCTGATACAGGAAGCTGCACTGTACCCGCAACTTTATCCACATGAATTTGTTCATATCGTTCATGCTGAGGGCCATCTCTGTCTTCATCAAGGACTGGATCCTCTATGCAGAGCAGGACAGTAACCACTGCTCCATCTCCACCGTGAGTGAACTGAGTCTTGCCAGGAATCTCCCCGCCCTACCTTCTAGGACATTCCCTCCCTGCCTGATGCCCCACATTCAAGCGTTTCCTGCACGTGAAGCATTGGCCCCACTGAACGTGGAAATCCAGGCATGACCGTGCAGTGAAGTAATAGCAAGTGATAGCCCTGAGTATCATGACTTCCTGTCAGTTGGCCTGCGCGTGCACTTGGCAGGCTGTTGAGGGGGGTCAGGTGGAAATGCCAATCCAGCTTGACTGAGGAGGAAACTCAGCTCAGAGAGAGGGCGGGCCAGGCCCTGACCATTTAACTAGCGCATGATGGAGCTGAGAGGCTGATTGCCAGGGTTCCTTCTAGGTCCCCTCCCCAATTCTCATACCTCTGTCTCTTGGCCTGTAAGGGCCTGTAAGGTAAGCAGAGGAGGCATTCACTGATGGTGTGGGCAGGAGAGAGCAGTCCAGAGCGTAGGGCCCTGACCCAGGAGAGCACACTTAGAGGGAGGGTCTCTGTGTGATTTCTGGGGTCCCAAGAGTATTTCCCTCAATAGTGTGATGTCTAAAACCTTTATTTTACCAAGCCTCCTGCAGCAACCTCCCTATTCACCTCATCTATGGGGGTTCACTGGGAAAAAGGTAGAAACATGGGGGAGAATGAACCTGTGGAGAGGAGGGTGCTCTGTTCCATCCCACCCCCATTCTCTCCCACATGAGAGGGGTCCCTCCGTGGGCCTCTTCAGCTCAGAATCCTGAGATATTGCAGTATTAATCTCCTCAAATCCAGGAGCATTGAGTCTTTCAGCCATGTGAGATGTTGGAGCCAAGCATGCCAGAGCTGAGGGACCCTCAGGACTCTCCATGGTCTCCAGGATTTTCAGGGCCTGGGGGGCCAGCGGAGACACATGATTCTCTCACCCTCTTGAATCTCCTGGCAGGTGGAATGCAAGGCAGTGATGGTTTTCTTCCACTACTGCGTGGTCTCCAACTACTTCTGGCTGTTCATCGAAGGCCTGTACCTTTTCACCCTACTGGTGGAAACCTTCTTCCCTGAGAGGACATACTTCTACTGGTACACCATTATTGGCTGGGGTAGGTCACTGACTGTGGCCTGGACAGGTTCAGGCCTCACGGCCAGGTATGTCCTTGGTCCCACTGTCAAGGTGTGTCACATCTGAGTGAGGCAGACTGCCATTTCTTGGGCCCTCTCTTGTTGTTCCTTCCCCCAGGAAGCCCGGCGTCTGAGGGACAGGGTGTATTCAGGAGCCCTTCTGATAGACAAGATAGCCCAGGGTCTGGGGAGAAATGCATCCCCAGGAGGCCTGGGTGTCATGGACAGTTAGGGTGCCTGGGACTCCAGGTCTGAGAGGGAAAGGTACCCCATGGTCAGAGCTCCAAGTCTGAGGGGGATACTGAGCTTTAGGTTTTCTTGTTTTCATGGGACTCCTTCTTGTTCTCTCAGGGACACCAACTGTGTGTGTCACGGTGTGGGCTGTGCTGCGTCTCTACTGTGATGACACAGGGTGAGTACAAATGCCTAGACCTGGGGTCAGGGCTTAGTCAGTTCTCATAGATGTAAGAACCTCTACAGTAGGTCTTTACTCTTATGGGTAGGTTCTTGTTTGCTGCCCTGACTTCACATTAACAATCTCAAGCAAGTTATCCAAATTGGGGACCTGTGTGCTCCCCCAGCCCTGGGCACCATCTGAGCTATGGACCCACACAGCCATATCTTTGCCTGAACGCAGAGAGAATTATAGCTTTCAGAGCCATGCTCTGTCCCTGGGCCCAAATATGAGTGTCTTTTTTTTTTAATGGAGGGAAGGAAGAATGTTGAGTCTGAGTTGCACCCCCAAAAGCCTCAGTTCTGATGGGGAACTTGGCCTTTGCCCATTGGTGATCCTCTTCTTGGGCTCCAATGCCTGCCTTGGTAGGGAAGACTCAGATGAAGGGCATTTGAAAATCCAGGGCTGGGCTCCAGTCTGCAGTTCATCTAAGAGCTCTTCTGATACCAGCCTTTCCTCAAGAAATTGCAGGGGAAGAAAGCATCATCCAAGGAACCAGGGTCATTTTCCTGTTGGTCCCCAGGAATAATCTCTTTATTTTCTCTCACTGTCTTTTAGATGCTGGGATATGAATGACAACACAGCTCTGTGGTGGGTGATCAAAGGCCCTGTGGTTGGTTCTATAATGGTGAGTGACCTGGATTGCTCCGTGGGCCCCTCCAGCCTCCATCACATGGTGTCATGGGGGAAAAGGGCAATGGGAAAAGATGGGCCTGGGCAGAAAAGCACAGTAGGAAGGGAAATAAAGCAGTCACTACACAAACCAATCAACTGATTTCCTTTTTCATGACTGTATTATATTCCACAGTGTGGACACACAAGTTATTTAGCTATTATGTTTGTTTTTATATTAGACCACTTTTTTATTACAAAAGATGCCACTTGGAACAATTCTCTGCAAAATTTCGAGTATGTGTGAATATTTCTTTAGAATAATTCCCTAGAAGTAGAGTTCCTGGGTCAAAAAGGATACCTTATACCATTGTCAGTACTTACAATATCTGTTCTATCTCCTGGACATAGTGGCAGTTCATTGTTTTCATGTGCATCTCTCCATATTGCTAATGTAGCAGAACATTTTTTCCAAATATTTATTGATAACTTGGTTTTATTCTGGCTATTTCCTGTTTATTTCTTTTGCTCATTTTTCTAGCCCAATTGTTGCCTTTCTTATTTCCTGAAGAAGCATAACACTTCATCAGTTGGATATATTGTAAATGTTTCCAAGAATGGGTAACTTTATATAGTCAAACTATCAGGTTTTCTCTTCATAAATTCTGAGCCTTATATCTTGTTTTTGTCAAACAAGATTTAAAATAATGTCAAACTAAGATTTAAAATAATTCGTAATTGTCTTAAACATTTCTTGTCGATTGGATTATTATATGTACATCTTTAACAGAGCTGAAATTTTATTTCTTTGATTTGAAATCATAGTTAATCATTTTATTTTAATTTTTTTCCTCAGTGGATAGACATTTCTCCCTTTAAATCACTGTATTGAATAGAACACCCTCTCGGCATTTTGTGGGAATGTTATTTTATCATAAACATTCAGTGTCCTCTACTTGTTGAGCAGCTCCAGACTTCCTGGTCTGTGTGTCTGGTGCCTCTGGCTGTTCCCCAGGCCAATATCTCCAGTGTTCCAGTTGCTGCAGCCTTGAGCAAAATCTGATGTCACGTATGCCCGCTTCTCCTTTATTTATTCTTTTTCTCCTCAAGACTTTCTTGCCAATTAACTTCTTCAGGTGGACTTTTGAATACCTTTGTCAAGTTGTTAAAAAAAAAAAAAAGCATAGTCTGGTTGAGATTTTTATAGGAATTGTGTTGAATTTAAAAAGAAGATTTTTTTTATAAAGGAAAGATTTGATAAAGGAGAATTTTCTTCAAATTTTGTCTTCCTCCCTGAAAACATGGCCTGATTCTCCATTACTCAGTCTTTGTCTTAGTTGTTTTATACCATTATTAGTTGTCTCTCTTATTCTTGTTACGTTTGCGTCTGAGGAAATTTCCAGTTTGTGCTTTTATTGTGTCTAGGAATATTTTTTTATTATGTTTTGAAATGGGCTACTACTGGTGTGTAGAGAAACTATTAGTTTTTGTGTATTTTTTTCTCTTCTCAGTTATTTTTCTAAACTCCTATTTTTACCTCTTGTCAACTGGTACTCATGGATTTTATACATAGATAATTACATAATCTGTAAATGAAAGTTGTTTCTACTCTGCCTTTCTGATATGTGCATCATGCATTCCTTGATTTTGTTGAGGATGATATTTGCTACAGTTTGGGGCAGTTGCCCTTCACTGCATTTGGGAAATATCTATTCCTGGCTTGTTTCACGTGTGTGTGTGTGTGTGTTAATCAGGAAGAGATGGTGATTTTTATCAAATGTGTGTTAGAGACATTTATTGAAGTGATTTTTTTCCCTTAGTGATGAATTCAATAGTATTCCAGGTTTTCTTCTTTATGACTGATACTACAATGAGTGTATTTGTGCACACCTTTGCACGCGCATCAGTATGTCTTTAAAATAAATCTCAAAGAGTAAAATTTCTGTGACAAAGGTAGCATACACCTAACATTTCATGGGTAGCAAATTGCTCTGCAGGAGCAGAATACAAAAGTGCTCACTTCCCATGTCTTTGTTGACATTTCTGTTACTGGACTTTTGGCCAATGTTCGAGAGGGTAATGGTTGTTTATTGGTTTGCTCAATTAATGTAACAAATATTAGCACTTTTTTTTTTTTTGCATTCCTGGCATAAAACATTTATGGTGGTTATCTCTTTATTCTTTTGAATTATGCTAAATTCTATTTTGTTAATATTTTTTCATTGTCTTATATTGGTTTTCATAAGCTGTATGGTTTTAGGGGTGTGTGTATGTGTATGTGTGTGCACATGTGCATTTTGTGCCTTCTCTGATATTTGTAGCAGGGTTGATTAGCCTGAGAGGTAATTTGGGAGCTTTTTTTTTTTTTTTTTTTTTTTTTTTAAAGATTTATTTTATTTATTTATTTATTTATACAAGCACTGGGTACAGTCAGAAGCGCGGGAGGGTGAGAGAATTCACCAGAGCCAGAGTGGGGAGCAGAGCAGGCAGAAGGACCGAAGCACACTGCTGAGGGGAGCGGGCGGCAGGAGAGGTCTGTGCGCCATGTGGGACCCTCCTCCGGTGGCCGGGGAGCAGCCGGGGATCGAACCGGTGCCGCGGAGGCCTCGGGCAGCTTCGCAACCCAGCGCTCAACCGCTGCGCCACCGGGGAGGCCCTAATTTGGGAGCTTTTTAAAAATTTGGTTCTAAACAAATAAGTAGTTATATAAGTTAGATCATCCTTAAGGTCCTATGAAGCTTTGTAAAAATCTCAGCCTGGTGTCTTATATAGAATACAATTTTTAATTAACATTTATATTTCTTCTGAAGTCATTGCTATACTCAGATTTTCTACATCTTCTTGATTAGATCTTGTTATTTTCCCATTGAATAAATTTCCTCCTACCATTTAAAATATTCTATATACCAGTTGTCCTTTTTCCATTCCAACATATTTTTAGTTGCATTTTCTCCTTTTAGATTAGCTATCCATGCAGTTAGCTTGACTATTTACTGAGCAAAATTACAGCACTGATTAGACACTGGGTGTTCAGCAGAGAACGAGACTGACAGAATCCGCCCTACTTGGAGCGTCCTTCACCGTCCAGTTTGACCTGTGAACACAAGCAAAACAAAAAACTAAAGTAAAATTTATCTTTATTGCTCAAATCTACTTCTTTTTCTTGTTTCCCTATGAGGAATTTTTACCTTTATTATAATTTCCTTCTTGTATAAGTTAAATTTGTGGTCTTCTTTCCCTAGGTTTTGATTTAAAAGCTTAATTATTTTATTTTTATGATCTGAAAGTTTGTTTTAGACTCGCCATTCTTTTCTTAAAGTGTCGTTTCAGCTACATCCACATCCAGATGTTGAGTAGTATTACATGTTGAGTAGTTCTCTCTTTGTACCTTCTTTCTATTTACTTGCACCCCTCCCTTTCCCAGGGTACACACAGCTTCCCACTGTGTTTACAGCTTTTATCCTTGATCTTTATCTGAAGGCGAATGCTGCTACTGCTATTCCCAGGCAGCCCTTTAATTAATAGGGCTTATGTTGTCCACTCCAGTTCCCCATATATGATGCTGCTGAACTTGGAATTTCTCCAGAGGACAGCTCTCACCTCTGCAATGGCCTCTTCTCTATTCGTTTCGGGTTGTTATTTTTCCATCACCCTGATCCTATTTACTCTTTCTCTTCCAGAAATTACTAACTTTTCTGGCTCACTTGCAATATTTCTGTTTCCCAGTGCTCCTGTGGAATTGTTTTTCTTTGGTCATTTCAATGATTTTGTGGGATTCTGGGGAGATAAATGAGTGTCCTCATGCTGCCATCTTATATTACATGTCTAGATGGGATACTGCCTGGATAGGGGAGGTCCTGTTGGCCTGTTGGAGAAATAACAGTCTGTGTTATGGAAAGCCCAGTTATTTCCATCTTCTTTTTCTTTACTCTTCAGGTTAACTTTGTGCTGTTTATCGGCATCATTGTCATCCTTGTGCAGAAACTTCAGTCCCCAGACATGGGCGGCAACGAGTCCAGCATTTACTTGTAAGTACCACTGCATGGGTGCCAGTCACCCCCATAGCCGAGGGGGCCCTGCATTCAGGTCATAGCAGGACCTGGTCTGGGCTTGCAGGCAGGGTAACCTGGCATGGGCATTTGCAAGATTTCTTTCTGATCAAAGTTCCTTTAAAATATAGCTGCCCTTCCATCCTTCAGCACTCCAGGAACTCTGTCTGCCTGGTGATTCCATGGAAGGGAAAAGAGAGAGGAGGAGACTGGCAGATGCCATGTCATATCATACTGGGAAAATCGAGTTTTGGAAAACGCCAGACTCCCTAGGGTTTTGATTGTTTAGGAGTTGGGTTTCCTTTGGGAATTTGATGCTGTGGGAAGCTCGTGGATAAGATAAGACATTGCTGCCCGCCATCTCCCCACCCAACCCCGCATGTGCGGGTGCTCCCCCCACCAGGCAGTCAGATAGACGTTCTTGCAGGATTGGCTATTGGCAGGGGGTGCTCGCCCTTCACTCTCAGTATAGCAGTACTGCTGCCTCTGGTTCTCCTTCTGCAGCCCCCTCTTCTTTCATAGAAGAACACTTCATGTATTTGGGGTTGATGGGGCTTCAGGCAGCCTCACACCACTTAGTGTTGGGTGTTCTCCAATTGCACAGCCATTTGCTTTCCTACCAGTGCTTTTGCTGTCATGTCCCTAATAGCCTGTCCCCACTGCTCTGTCCTGTCCCTCTCCAGCCTTCATTCCTTTCTGGAATCACACTAAGCATCTTTTACTTCCCCATTCTTTCCCCTTGAACAAGAGCATGACCAGCGGGGTATGTGGGGTGTGGGGTATGTCTGATGCCAGGGAGGAAGGTCAGTCTCCTGTGGTTGACTGCATGGGCCAGGTGGGTACAGAGAGTCTAAGGGTGGTCTATGGGGTCCACCTTTGGGCAATATAGAAACCAACCAAGCAAGTTGAAGGAACATGTGTTAAGTATTTCTTCCTCTGTCTTTAGGGGAAAGAGCAGCTTAGAAGGAGCAGAGGTATTTTTATGGCATCCTTTGGGGACTTGGTAGTGTTGTCGTCAGAGACCCTACCCTGGGGCTCAGAACTTCTATGGCTGCTGAGTGGATGAGTAGGAGAGCTCCCAGAAAAGGGTTCCCCTCATTCAGCTGTTCTAAAGTGAAGAGGGGAAGCAGTTGCTCAAATACCAATCCGAGTCCTTCCCTCAGACTTCTTGGGGCTTCCCCAGGCCACCTCCCCTTGTGGAATTCCATCTGGGGGTGGGAAATGGGCACAGGGTCTGGCTTGGCCAGCATGTAGGAGATTAGATTACATTGGAAAGGCTTCTCCCAACCTTTGGTTTTGTTTTCTTCTACAATGCATTTACTGTCTTATTTTTTTTCATGTTCTTGCAAGTTTTAATCAACCTATGCTAATGCATGTGTTACATAGTCAAAAATTGCTCATTCACATAAGACGTAAAGTCTCCAAGGTCTGCACTTTTAGGGGGTGCAGTGAGGTTGAGCCCCCTGCAGCTAACTGTGCTAGAGATCATTCCTTCCTTGGTCTCATAGACCCACAAGCCAGGTCTCTGCTGCTCCCACACTAATGGTTCTCTGGACATTGAGCCTGTGGGCAGCTGATTAGCCCCCATTTATCCTTTGAGCTCTGCAGCTTCTGGCCCTCCCCCCAGCCCCTTTCTGGTAAGGTCCTTTCTTATTCTGAGGTCCCTGGGACCCTTTCTCAGCTTCTCACTCTGCCTATTCAGGGACACACAGGGGCTCAGCAAAGCCTAATTAAGGAGACGTTCCTGACCGCGTTCCTGACACACTTTGCCAGCTCAGACATTCTGCCCCAGACAGCAAGAAACCCCAGGATCTGGCGAGGGAACGCATGAGGGTTTCAAGTTTTCCATAGACTGGGAGCTATTGAGTCTCTTCAGACCTTCCTAATGTGGAAGTAAGAACATTTGCAATTGGCACATGGTTTACACATTTAAGTACAAACCCAGGACCTTTCAACAACAGTTAATTGAACCGCTAATTGGTTTACTTCTCTTGTGTAAAATATCCCCTTGCAATCTCAAGAAATGCCTTTTTTAGGGAAAACCAAACCTCTGTAGTTTCAAGCCCAAAGATTAAAACTTGGATGGGTGTGCTCTGCCGGCCAGGTGGGAGGACTGACATGGGACAAGGGACCAACCTGATCCTAAAAGTCAGCAACATGATTGAGTGTTTCTAGGGTCACGGAGACCCTGTTGATCAAAGTGAGCAGTGATCAAAGTGACAGTGCTGCTAAGAACTGCAGGGAATTTAAAACCACTTGCAACTCAGCCCTTGGCCATTCAGTGTTCACAAATACCCAGAGGATCTGGTGGGATAGGTAGCCAGCTGTTAAATAGGAATGCAATGAGATGATGAAATGAATCTGGTGGGAAGCAGTGAAGCCATAACTACGGCGCAGTCAGCCCCAAGCTTCACTCCCATCATTCCTGTCCTCAAAGGAGTGACAGGCGAGAAGATGCTTTCACACAAGTATATAAACAGGGCTTCCTGGAAAAAAGATTTCATTCTTGTGTAGAGCTTCCCCACCTGGAGTGCTTTGAGGTGTCTGCTGTGGGAGAGGGGAGACGGGGAGGAGCTGAGCTGGGTGGTGGGCAGAGGGTTTAAAGGACGGGCATGGAAGAGGGAGATTTCAGGGTTGTGCCCGAGTTCCTTTGGGCCCCCAGAATTATGTGTTGGGCTGACAGACCCCTTCAGATCTGCCCACAATAGCTTTCTGGTTTTTTCCTCTGTTTCCAGAACAAATTTAAACCTGGGAGTCCCCAAGAAAGCCCGAGAGGACCCCCTGCCTGTGCCCTCAGACCAGCATTCACTCCCTTTCCTGTAGGTTGGTTCCAGCTGCTCAGATGATAAGGGTTTGTCCTACGTAGACGGAGACGGCGCTCCCGACCCAGCCTCAGGAGGACCCATTGGGGCTGGGACTCCTACAGGGGGACAGTGGACAGTGGCACTGAGCCACCCACACTGTCTCACCTGATGTTCCTGGTAGAATCAGTGACTGAGTCAGGACTTGGGCAGTGTCCAGGCACGGCATGTGGGTCTGGGTCAGGGCTTGGCGTGTGCTCAGGGTTGACTTGGTCTGGGGCAGGGATCCGGGTTAGCCTGTCTTTTTCTGGGGACTAGAGATTACCCCTGGGAGAAGATGACTGACTCAGAAAGGGTTGGGTGAGATTGGAGGGCTGGCATGGATTGCTGTGGCATCACCGGCTGGCTCTGTATAGAACTGGCTTCATTCCCAGCTGTCACCCTACCTGCACAATCCACACTGAAAGATGCCTCTGGGTTCTGAGGTGGTGCAGGGCAACCCCATCTTTATCCTCCTCAGGTACCCCACAGAGCAGATCTCCATGGCCCCCCAGGATAAAGGAAGGAGAAGGGAGTAGATGCTGAGATGGTGTAGGTTGCCTAGCACAGCTGTGATGTCACCAGTGTCAGAGGATGACACTGACCTCCAAAGATAGGCTCTTCCATGGCTAAGCAGACATGCAGCCTGGAAGCTTCTAGTTCAGGAGCTCAGCCCACAGCCAAAGGGACTCCATCTTCCATTTCCAAAGTGTTCTCTCTCCTCTCTAGGAGTACCCACCCTCACAACAACTTGCAACAGAGAGAGTGGTTACCCCCTTTTTGCAGATGAAGAAACTAAGATCCAGAGAAGGAAAGAGGTACCTCATAAGTTCAACCAGCAAATCACTGACTTCGGGTGGCCTGACTCCTCAGGCTAGGCAGCCCCTGCCTCCAACTCTAACACCCCAAAGCTGAGTCATTCTCAGTGGTGGGGGATGAGGAAGAAGTGGGCAGGGAGACTCCAGGATGAGATGGGCTTCTGGCTGGGGTACCAGTGTGGAGGAAAGAGCATCCCTGAGGACTGGGCTGGGTGTACAATATGGGGTACAAGGTCAGTACAAGATCAAGGGGTGTATAAGATCAGTAGAGGCTTAGTCTCTGTAGAGAACATTCAGACCATGATGTTCCCTGGGCCTGCCAAGTGTCCAACCCTGTGCTAATCACCAGGAGTACAGGGTGACATAGACAGGGGTGCTGGGCCCCCCTGCTGGGTCTCTTGTATTTCCTGGGACTGCAGCCCAGGCAGTCCTGCACACACAAGGCATGAAAGCTTTTATGGGATTTGGCCTGGGGCCAAAGCAGAAGCTGAAGAAGCACATGCTGCATCCCTGGGTGATAGATGGGAATACAGAGACCTGGAAATGGCTTTGACCTTCCTGCAGACACACAGCAAGTCTTGGCAGCTCCAGGCCTGGGAGCCAGGGCTTTCCAACTTCCAGATGTGGCTGTGGGCCTGGCACCTGCTTGGGGACCTCTGGCCTTCTCACTCAGGCTAACACTGCTGCTCAGCAAGAGTCCCCACCCAAAATCCGTATCTCCGTTTCTTCCCCTCCTATAGATCCAAATCAGAATGGAGCTCAGCAGTCACCTGGGTTTAGGTCATCCTCTTGATTAAATTTCCCATTCTTTGCTAGTTGCAGTGACTTTTCAAAATTCTGACATCTTTCTCATGCCCAATTCTGACATTTCCACCACCTTCCTGTGTTTCTTTTCATGGTTCCTTTTGCCCAGGTCCTTGAAGTTTTCTGGGAGGGGGTTGTTGGGAAGAAGGGATCCTTATCTTTGTCCCTAGCTCCTCCTTTGCCCTGCCCCTCACCCTCATATCAGAGCCACACATCTTTATCAGTGGTTGGATTTCCCAGTTAACTTGACACTAAATGGCCTTAAGATGACTTGGAAGAAATCAGAGGAATCTGTGTTTACTGGAGAATGTCCAGGGTCCATGAAGGGCAAGGACAATGTAGGGACAGAGGAAATTCTTTCCATACCCATCTGGGTTCTCTTAGGCTGACAGATTATCAAATAAACATCAGATGGATTGACAAGAGGAACAAAACAAAAAGTTTAATAATAATGTGGACACTTCCTGTACACGCGGCAGAAACCCAGTATGACTGAGTAACTAAGAAAATGGCTTCAGGCACCACTTTAGACATCTTCAGCTGGAGACAAGGGATATTGGGGAGGGAGGGAAGGTGGGCGCTTTGGAAGGTCCCAGGAAAGGCACAGCGAGCACAGTGCAGGAGAAGCCTTTCCAAACGGTGATTTTCCTTTCACATGGCACATTTTACTCCCTACCACAGTTTGGGATTCGAGGAAGAGATGTCTCAGGAGAACAGCAGAAGCTTACGAATTCAGGAGGAGAGTTTATGCCTGACTTGTAGGAGATGACATCTGGAGTCTGGGCCCCTGCGTCCCCAGACCCTGGTTTCTATGGTTCACCCCAGCCCAGGGATCAGGCCACTGGCTGCAGATGAGAGGGGTCAACCTTTTGATCTGGGTAAAGTTAATAGCATGAGTGGATGGCTTCCATTCTGGAATACCTGACTAAGCTTTTTGTTATCAAGAAAAAAAAAGACAATTCTGTGTATCCATCTTTGCATGTATGTGAAACAGAGCCAGCAGGTCTGGGGTTGCATTCTTAAGATGCCCTCAATCAGTGCTGATGCTGCTGGTCTGGAGGCCCAGTCTGGGTAGCAGAGCCTCCTAACATCTCACATCCCTTACCTGTAAAGTGGGTGAGTAGCACCCGCCTCACAGTGTGGTATGAAGTGAAAGATGCAGTTTATTAAATGAGAACCACAAGCCTGGCTGAGGCGGAGGCGCTGAGTGGGCTTTTTCTTGCCCACTCTTTGAAGTGTGTGATTCAGATTCTTGCCTCAGCAAAATGACATGTGATCCCATGTCAAGGACGTTAAGTCTTGAGACTTAACCTTGAAGAGCTGGAATCACAAAGAACACGCGTGAGAGCCGAAGAGTTGGTCTCTTGGTACCTACCTGTTGTCCTCATTGGCATCCTATCCACACTCAAATTGCTCAGTTCACCCACAGATACCAGGAGCTCAGCCCCTGAGGTGCCTGAGGGGGGTCACTGAAGCAGGCACCTCCCTGGCAATCTGTGAGATGACCTGGCTTCTGATCTATCACTTATGCATTTGTCTGAGTAGGAAAGGAAATGTCCACAACTGTGCCAACCTGAGCAAAAGCTGGTGCGTGAAGTTGCCCAGGAGATGGAAGTGCAGTCCCAGACCTGCCACCCTCAGTGGTGGCGGCTCTGAGCGTCACCCTCTAGAAGCAGCTAGGCTTGCAGCCCTGGCCAACCTGTGGTTGCACCTTCAGTGACGTGTTTCTGCAAGTTGTGCCCAAAAGGTGCCCCTCTCAGCCTTCAGTGCCTGCTCCTTGAACTCATATCAAGAAATCTAGCCTGGCGCTGTGCAGTTGAACTCTCAGCACCAATGGAAATGCCCTGATCTGTGTTGACGTGTGAACTACTACTCACTCACGCGCGGCTGCTAAGCCCTTGCCCCAGGGCAGCTGAGGCAGTGCATTTTCAATTTGATTCAGTTTTCATTTAAATAACTGCAGGTCTACACGTGTCAATAGTCTGTTCGCTCCATCCTGACTTGCTCCTCCTGTCAGTCCTGACACTGAGATGCTGGGGCCTCAGAGAGGGGAGGTATGGGCAGGAGAGAGAGAGTTCCGGGGGGACCAGTGGACACCCGAGTTAGTCTTCACCAAGCCCAGAGCTGGCCTGGTCTGCCCTGGCTTGGCGGTGCCAGGTCTGCAATGTGAGCTTTGAGCTGTCCAGCTGGGCAACCTCTGACAAGACTCTGCTCTGATCATGGAGCTAACTCTAGGGACAGCTTCTGGTGCCCTGCATGAGACCCAGCCCGGGCCCCACTTTTTGAACATGCACCTCCCTCTGAACCCTGCACCTGTTGGTGCCAATGTGAGTGCTCGTGTGTGCCTGTGTGTCTGCACACACCTGTGCGTGTCCCGACGTGCGTCTGTGTCCAGAGCTGACCACGTCTTGACCCTTGGCTTCCTTAGTCTCCTCCACATCAGTCACTGCCCCGGCCCTGTCTTCTACATCCTTGGTCCTTCCTCCCTGTGAACCATGTTGCTCTAAGTCCCACCACAGTTTCTTCATTGCCCGATGCCCCCAGCTGACAGAACTGCTGATCTTGTCACACCCAGCAGCTGCGTGCAGAAATGCTACTGCAAGCCACAGCGGGCTCAGCAGCACTCTTGCAAGATGTCAGAACTGTCCACCATTACTCTGTAAGTGTGCGTGGCGTGACTGTGGCCGGGTGTCCCGGAGGGGAGGGCAACGCATGCTGCTGCCGCGCCCGAAGCTTGCGTCTCGTCAGGCTACGCCTTGTTCCAAGCCTGTCCCCTTCCCCAGCTGTTGCATGATGACTGTGTGTCTTGTGAGTTCTTTGCAGCCATGGGACGGCAGGGGTGGTTGCAGGAATGGAGTTGCTCTCATGGTGGAGCATTGGGGCCTGCCTGTGCCAAGGAGGCAGCTCTGAAACCTACCCGCTGCTGGTGCCTCTGACGGCGGGATAGTCTTCCCCAAATCCCCCGTTTCTTTGAGCTTCCGTCTTTGCGACTGCTAAATTACTTCTAAGAGTCTTAGAGCTCGAGTTCATGGAGACCACTCCCCTGTATGAGATGGGAAACTCCACTCATACTTCATGTGCAGAGTGACTTTATCCCCATGACCCCATGAGGTGGGTCCTCTGTTATCCTCATCTTACAGGTGAGAGAACACAGAGAGGGGAAGTGACTTGCTCACTTGGCAGGGCGAGGATTTGAACCCACAGAGTGCTAGCACCAGGCTTTGTGGTGTCTGTGACTGCTGTAGCAGCAGCAACCTCAGTTTGGACCTCCCCTGAGTGGGGGAGCACACTACCATTTGGGTAGCTCTAACTGTTGGCAGCTCTTGGTATTTTTAAAGACTCTTCTAGGGCTCCCCAGTGGTGCAGAAGGTTGAGCACAGTGCTGTGAAGCTGTCTGCAGCCTCTGCAGCATGGGTTCAATTCCTGGCCAGCCAGGGAGCTACCCACATGGCACGGCAGACCTCTCCTGTTTTGCCTGCTGCTCCCCTCAGCAGTGCTTTTGGTCCATCTGCCTATCCTGCTCCCTGCTTTGTCTCTGGTGAATCCTCTCACCCTCTGAGCTTCTGGCCTGTACCCCAGCTCTTGTATTAATAAAATATATCTTAAAGAAAAAATAAAAATAAAGACTCTTTTACCCATTGGAGCTACCTTGGGCAGGAAGACAGACCAAGACCCAGTGTCACTGTTTTTCTGACCTAATTGGAGCCAGAGGTTCCTTCTGCCATATACCCTCTTCCAAGGCTCTGCTCAGCTCTCAAGGACAGGGATCCCAGAATCCTGAGCTACCTCTTCTGTCCCCACTGCCCCATCTGCCAAAGGAATTTCTGAGGTGCCTGGGCCCCTGGCAAATGTCTCTGACAGTTTTGGGATTGCTGCAGGCTGTGGGGGAGGGAGGTGTTACCCTGGGGCTTCACTCTGGGATGCCCCTGCTGTTTGCCACAACCGCAGGGGAGCAAGGAAGGGCGTGAGACTAGGCCTGAAAGGTGCTGTTTCTCAGCTGTTGAGCCTGTGGCGCCGCCGCCATGGCTGGAGAGGCTCGGCCTTCTGGTTTTCAGGGTACTCTTTAATAAAATCACCTGGTCATGTCCTTGGAAATGGGCCTGTTAGTGGGTGAGGAAACCAGGAGGGAGACCAGCAGAGGCTGTTACCCTGCTCCTTTAGAGAATCCAGTAAGGGCCACAGAGGAACCTCTGAGATGCCCAGATACCCACATTTCCAGACCACTTTTCTCCTCATTGGGGGACTTTATTCTTTAGCCACCACTCCCTGCTGCCTTCAGGTGCCAGGATCTCAGAGACGAGCAGATCTGTTCCAGGTCCTGCTCAGCTCAAAGGCTTTCAGGCCAGGCCTGTTCATCCATCATGGACAGGACTTCCCTGGTGTGGGCCTTGTGCTTGGCATGTATGGGCTACTGAAGGCGGAGGAATAAGTGATTGCTATTCTGCTTTCAAGGAGCTGCAGTCTGGGGGAGGACAGCAGCTGAGAGGAAGGGCAAGAGGCTGGACCACTCCAGGTTGGCATCCTGCCTTGGAGAGGGCATGAGCCCTGGGTCCTGCAGAATGTGCTGCCTGTGAGCAGGGAGAATGGGTGGGCACCCCCTTTGAGGAGATTTTTTCCTCTCAGAGCAAATCTTGTTCCACCCAAAGGTCCCCCTGTCCCTTCTCTGTGCCTCCTTTCCTGCTTTCTCTTTCTTCTCTTTCTCTTTCTTTCTTTCTTTCCTTCCTCCCCACCCCCTTCCTTCTCTTTCAGTAAAACTAAGAAGGAAACAAAAGGCCTCACTCAGAATCTGTTGATTCAGCTTTTCCTGAAATCCGGAGCTCTCACATTCAACAGAACATTCTCTTCCAGAAAGGATAGGATGGGAGTGGCCTATGGGGTAATGGCCCCAAATCAAATGGCCACAGGCTGGACCTCCCCCGTGCTGTCCCCCCTGGGCTGAAGGGACAGAAGTACCTGTGGGCCAGGACTGACTCTGCAGAGATCCAGAGCCAGTGCACTGGGGTAGACGGAGGTGGGGAAACCATCTGGATGCACCCCTCAGAGTGGGCCTCCACAGAACAGAGCCCAGCCCACTGCACCAAGGAGCCAGTTGCAGGCACTGAGGACCCAAAAGGGCTGGCCTCAGGAGGCATGGTGTCTGTCTGTGCACCCCACTTCTTTAGCAGATGGCGTCTCCCTTTGAGTGTTTCTTGGTGACAGTTTGCTTCTGCCCAGTTGGTGATCCCCTATGCCCAGAGTCAGAAAGTCCTCCTAGGGTCCCTCCCCAGTCTCACTGTCTATGGGACACCCACAGTGTTCCCCATCCTGCCTCCCTGTTACCAGCGCCTCCCTCCCCATCACTCTCCAAGTGCCCCTGGCTAGCCCAAACTCAGAAAAGCCCACTGTCTGTGGCCCTGTGGGGGCTCCTTTCCGAAGGCACATAAGCTTCGTCAGAGCTGTGTGCCATTTGAGGACCGTCTTGCCCCTCGCATCCTCTGAATTCCATCCTTGTATTTGCTTTGACTTCACTTTTGCAAGGGCTTAGCATGTCTCGCAAAGCATCTGCATACATCTCTCTCTCTCTCTCCCTCACACACACACACACATACATGGTTCTGCAGGATAAGACTGACCTACAGGCGTGGTGCCCTGCAGCCTGGGGCGTGTCCCTCCAGCACGTCCCTGGGAGTTTTGGAAGCTGGGCCCTGTTGCTACTGTCTTTCCTAGACCCCATGCACTGGGAGGGAATCCTGAGGGGGTCTGTGGAGATGTGCCCCTAGCTCTGCGGGAGCTGGGACAGTTCTCTGCCCTTGGCTCTGACCCCAAGCCCTGGCAAGCTCCCGAAACAGATGTCTTGTTCTCTTGACAGACGGCTAGCTCGGTCCACTCTGCTGCTCATCCCGCTATTTGGAATCCACTACACGGTATTCGCCTTCTCCCCGGAGAACGTCAGCAAGAGAGAGAGACTCGTGTTTGAACTGGGGCTGGGCTCCTTCCAGGTACGTGTGGCATGTGCAGAGGGTAAAACCCACTGGGGCCCAGGGGCCTGGGCTCGAACCTGCTGATGGTTCTGGAAACTTCTTTAACCTAGACTAGAAACTTCTGTTTTAGTTTCTGAAATAAGAATTGTAGAAGACAAGGAGCTGGGAAAAACCCCTTCTGCGGGCTACCCTGGGGCTCCTGGGAGAAGACACACTATGTCTGCCTATGGCTGCGTCTGGGAGTCCTGAGCTGGGCCTCCCTTGGGAGAGTCCATCCCTCCCTCACCATCAGCCTGGGATGGGCCAAGTGCCCTCAAGAGACTTCTCTGGCCATCTCCTGATTTCTAGTGTGCTGGCTGGGCCATGCACCCCACAAACGCTGGAGCGCTGGCACAGAACCTGGCCACGAATAGCTCAATAAGCCAGACAGGTGGATGAGCAAACAAAAATAATGCTTCAGGAAGTGAGAGAGTGGGTGTATGGGTGACCCTGATTTTGCAGGAGTGTACATGGGGTTGCAAACAAGAGCAGGAGGTAGGGAATCATTGTGAAGATGCGTGGCCGGTAAATGGGCAGATGGGAGTAGAGGCTGATCAGTGAGGATGGGGGTCCCTTGAGTGTTCCAGGGACAGAGGATCTCCCCTCACCCACCTGTTTAAACAAGATTTGATCTTGATGGTCAGAAAATAACAGTGTATCAGACTTAATCCCCCATTTCAAAGCAAGGTTGTTTTACCTGTTTGGGACCTTAACCTGGTGAGAGTTTCATAGATAAAGTCTCAACTTGGGAGTCATAGCCCAGGTTTCTTGCATCAGAATAAGATTTCTAAATTCAAAGAATATATGTGGAACAGCTGAATGCCTACTCTGTGCCAAGCGCTTACTCAATGTTTTGCATCTGCTGGGTACAGAGCGTCTGTCTCCCTGGGCCCCACACACTGGGAGGGGATCCTGAGGGGGCGGTGGAGAGGTGCCCCCAGCTCTATGAGAGAGTGGAGTGAAGGGTGATGGGAATAAAGACACAGATCAGCCCTGTCCTAGATGCTACCCTCAGAGCACCTCTAGGTGGCTGGGGAACCCAGAGAACATTCTGGAGCATCCAGGGAAGGTTTCTTGTAGAAAGTGGTATAGAGTGGCCTTTGGAATATAAAGATTCAGCCAAGGGAAGGCGAGATCCACGCCAGGGTTGTCAGAGGGAGAGGGGACTCTTCCACTAGCCACCTGGCTGGCTGGATATGGTGGTGCTGATGAGCAGGACTTGTCCCACCTTGCCCTAGGCTCCTGGGCAGGTGCACCTGCCCCATCCAGGTCATTGTATTTTTCTGCTTCCTGGGTCACTCTTCCCCTTACTTCCCGTACACCATGCATAGATCCTTGGCCAGCTTTCTCAGGTTATTTTTCTCTTTTTCCCCAGGGCTTTGTGGTGGCTGTTCTCTACTGCTTTCTGAATGGGGAGGTAAGACCCTGTCCCTCTGGCTTCTTAGCAGCGGAAAAGGGGTTGCCAGCAATTAGGTGGGGGCACAGCCTGCTGCTACACAGGGCTTCCTCTTCAGTGGAGGGCAGTCCCAGGCTTCCAGCATCTAGATGAGGGGATGGCAGCAGTGTTGGGGTCTCCTGATGGACTTCACCCTGTGCTGGAACTTTGCCTGCTGTGCTGCTCAGCCCTGGCCACCGGAGCAGAACCCCTCCAGGAAAGACCTCAGCTGTGGAATGCAGATCTGCCTTTGAGGCACTCACCTTAGAAAATAATTGAAAATGAGGACAAGCAAGGCACAGGGCATGGTCCCTAGGACAGGGAGAGGACCAGGTGGATGGGATGGGCCTGGAGAAGGGGCAAGAGTTGGTGAATCAGTGCCTGAGTCTTAGCTGCATGACCTCATGACCTCAGCAGGTTCCGCTCCTTTTTCACATGTGAAGAGTAAGAAACTTGGACCCAGTGAGTCCACAGAAGGATCAGACTGGGTAGAGAGGGTCTTGCAGGGAGTGGCTGGGAGAGCCAAGAAATAGTAGTCCAGAGCTTGCCAAGAGTCTGCAGTGTTGGTGGAGCTAGAACAGGTGGACGGTTGCGGGTGCCAGCCTGGCTGTGCAGTTTGCGCACTGTATGAAGGTGCGTGGCTGAGGGTGTGTGTGGAGGCTGAAACATGGCCTGCCTCTCACACTCATGCTAAGAGCATAGAGGTATGTTCGTCCAGAGGGGTGCACTATTTAGTGGGTCTCAACGCTGACTGCATGTTGGAATTGCCCAGAAAATCTTAAAACATGGATGCTGCGGCCTAGAGATATTGATGTGATTGTTTGAGGATGTGGTCTGGGTGCTTGAATTTTTTGAAGCTTTTTAGGTTGTTCTAATGTGGAGCTGTTTATGGTCAGCTGAGAAAGTGTCCATCTACCCGAAGGATCTGCTTTTAAAAGATTATTTGCAAGACCTGATAAGCTAGTCTCCATCATGCCTTGGGCATGATGGAACACTAAGAGCCAGCGGCTAAGACCCAAAGACCCCAGAAAGCCATAAGAGGGCCTTGCTCAGACAGTGACTTAGGGAAGGGCTGCAGTTTGGGAATGGATGTGGGGTGGGTGGAACACTCCTGGGTGGCAGTGCCAGCCTGGGACAGGCCTCTGCCGGGCAGGCGGGTGGATGAGGTCACAGAGGATGTTCCCGCTGACGGGACGGCCCTTGTCGCTCCTGCAGGTACAGGCGGAGATCAAGCGTAAGTGGCGGAGCTGGAAGGTGAACCGCTACTTCGCTGTGGACTTCAAGCACCGACACCCGTCCCTGGCCAGCAGTGGGGTGAATGGAGGCACCCAGCTCTCCATCCTGAGCAAGAGCAGCTCCCAGATCCGCATGTCCGGCCTCCCGGCTGACAATCTGGCCACCTGAGCGCCCTCCCCTTTCCTCTCCTCTGTACACAGGCTGGGGCTGTGCCAGGCGGGTGCCAGCCCACGCATGCTGTGCTCTTCTCTCCCCTCGGGCAGGCCCTGGGCTGGAAGCTGGGCTCCCTGAGGGGGGAGGAGGATGCAGGAAGCAGGCGGGTATTTCTCTTTCCCATTTTGGCGCTGTTACCCACCCACCATGGGCCATGGGGCCCTGACCCCAGACGTGTAAATATTCCTCAAATTTGGAAACTTTTCCCCATCCCTATTCCCTGGCCTCCTCTGGCAGCTCCCCAGCTCCACCTCACCCTGTCTCACCAGCCTTGGTGACCACCTGAACACATGTGTGAGGCCTTGGGAGCTGAGACTAAAGACCTTGCTTTGAGGGTGCTGGGGTGTGGCCTGCCTGACAGCCCCCCTCAGTGTATGGCTCTGTCTGGAATGAATGAGTCTGTTTGCCATCCTAGGCCCCTTCCCAGTCCCTGGGCCCAGTCCCTGACACCTGCCGGAGGTCCACTTGGGTGAACCAGAGTGTCCTCCACTGCAGGCTACACTCAAGGCTCCCTCATGCTCACCTAACATCTTGGTGTCTGGGTGCCCAGTTCCTGAATATGAGGCAGTGGGACAGCTCCAGGACTCTTCCAGTCAGACTTCAGTTTGGATGTGGGGCTGAGGGTCAGGGAAGAGTCTCATGCTTTTCATTTGGCCCAAGAAAAATTGCTAAGAGCCAGAAATGTGGATGTGATTTGAGAAGAGATGGAAGGAGTTTGGGGGCACCCATGGAAGAAGATCTTCACCATCTCCCTATTTTATTCCTGTTCAAGTTGGGCTGGGGTCATCCGGTAGCCTCCCTTCTAACCCCTACCCCCAGGCATCAGCTGCCGAAGGTGAGAGACACATGCCTTGGGGAACTGCTTGCCAACCCCTTACCACATAGAGCCCCTAAGCCTTCTGCCTCCCCAGCTCCCCCTGAGTCAAAGCCATGACTAGGATGAACCATCTGCCTTCCTGTGATATTAGTGAATGCTGAAGCACCTCACATCTCCAAGTGCCCAAGGTCAGGGCCACCTCCCCCAACCTCATGGATGAGGAACCCCATCGCCAGCTCCTCTGACCTAGACTCTGCAATTGAAATCTCAGACTCTGCCAAGATTTCCCTCTGTGTACCCTTGACGTTGAATCACCACAGATGCTGGGGTGTCAAAAGGGAAGCCACTGCTCCAGAACACCTTTCCTGGTTCCCCAGCCACACCTTACACGATGATCACAACTTCAGGATTCCAAATGGGCAGAGCCAGTTTGGGGGAAGCTGGAGGAAAGTGCTAGAGTGCCTGAGCATGGGGCTGCTTCATTCCATGTTGACTCTCGGTATTGTTCCCATTCGAGTGTGTGTGCGCAGTTTTGTTTTGTGATGATCATCTAGAATACCTGGGCAGTTTGGGTGAAGAGGGAAGGTTTCTTAGCTTGATTTTATAAAGAGTATGGGTTTGCAGGATCCCAAATCTGGAAATGTTTCTGGAGAGGTCTTTGAAATGACTGAAGAAGGCTACAGTTGCTTGGTTTAGGACTGAGCAATGTGTCCTTGTCCATCGCTGGCCCTGGGTCTTTGGCAAAGCCAAAAGTTGTTCCTTCCTTTCCCTGGCATGTGGGGCCACTCTGGCTTACCATGGATGTGCAGTGACACTCCCTCCTGCCCCTGACCCTGTGATTATCCTCTCCCTGCCCTGGGAGCCCTGTGTCTTACCCAACCTGGTATCCACCGACCCCTGGGGGTCAGACATAGAAACTGCTCCCGTAGGGTTCAGACTGCTGAGACTGAGGACACAGTGCTCCCTGCTGTGGACCTCAGTTTCCTCACTGGTGGGATGAGTCACTTCTACATCTTCTCTAGGCTCTGTTCTCCAACAGTTCACCAGTTCAAAACTAAAAGGGCAGGTCCAATTGTCATGTGTGTCATCTAATGTTGACGTGTGTGTGTTTGTGTTTGTAGAGATGGAAGGGGTATGCTGTATGGTCCCTTTCTTAGAAATGAAACTTCTGTCTCTTCCATTTGGATGCCACAGTGGATGCTGGTGGGCCAGAGGAAAGAATGGGGCCATGGGCAATGGTTAGGTGCCTTGGGCATGGTGGGCAGACTCAGCTGGGTCCCTGGCCAGGCAGGGGGCCAGAAATGGATGGGCAGTGGCCACCGTCAGGTCCCTAAGTATGGACTCCATTTCTCCCCACCCTCACCAGCAATTTTGCCTCACTGAGGAAGAAGAAACTGACTTTTTACTCACATTACAAAACTGCAAAAACAAAATTAAGCCTCAGCTTCGTGCGCCAGGATGCCTCCTGAGCCCTGGGCCCGTGTCTTCATAGTGGTTCCTGGTTCTGCTAGTTTTGTTTTCTCTCTGAACACCTTGCCAGTCTTGGAAGCAGATGTCTTTTGAGTATCCCAAGAGGCCAGGCAGCTGGCCTTCAGGGTCACAGGCAGCAGGGGGCTCACATGAGGTGCCGTAAAAGCCCTCTCTGAAGCTTGGTTTTCAGATCTGTAGAATGGCAGGTTAGAGCTCGGTGGCTCTGGTGGCCCCAGCGCTGCAGGCTTCCTGACTCCCCACCTTGCCTGAGGTCGGGTCACGTGCTCTGTCTCAGTGCACAGCCCCACCAGCCTACTTGACACATGCAGGAGCCTGCCGGGATTCCTTCTCCAGCTTCCACCCTTCCCCAACCCTGCTCCTTCCCTGGGGGAATAGGGCAAGGGAGCTGCAGCTGGACCCAAGACTCGATGCACCCACGTTCATCATCCGCCACCAAAGGCACTGACCCACCAAGTTGACCCCCAGAAGGAAAGCTAGAGGAGGCTGTCTTTGTAATTCCACGTGTGCCCTCGGCTACTCACAAGCATTCCATATGGAATGGAGGACCTTGAGCCTTCCACCTTTGCCACTGACCTGCTCTTTGGCCTTCACCCCTTCTTCATATATCTTTGGGGAGACTCCAAAGCTAGAGCTGGGTGGAAACTTGGAGATCTGCAGATCAAGCTTTCCCGTTGGGCTGATGACACAGGGCTTAGTAGGATGCCTGAACCATGTTGGGATCCAGTATTATTTTCAACCTGAATGAAGAAATGAGCAGGTGTGTGCCCAGCCCTGCATGTGAGCTGGGCTAAGACCCTCAATAAAACTGTACAGAAAACTTCAGTCTTGCCCAGGAGAGGACTCTGGCCGCAGACAATTGGGACTCTGGACTGCAGGAGAAGCAATGGAGTCTGTGTAGTGTGGGAAGACCTGAGTTCTGGCCCAGGCCTCACCATCCACATTGGTGAGATTCTGCGTCTGATTCTATGTCTGATTTCTGGGTCTGTGCTTCCGCCGTCTGAGAAATGGGGGGATGTGATGGGCAGTCTGTCCCATAGACCAGGGATGAGGCTGCAGTGAGGTACCCTTGTGCGTGAAACTGAAGGCTTCACAGGTGTGGGCATCACAGGGGTGATGCCCAGGCAAGGGACCCCGTGCTGTGTATGTGCTGCTGTGAGCCCTCCTGGGTTATCCTTTGCTCCACTTGTAAAACCACCAGCACTGAGGGCAGGGAAGCCTGGGGGGAGGTGCGGGCTCTGATGGACACAAGATTCCAGGTTCTGTCAAGGGATTCATTTTGCCCTTGGGGCTAGGGTGGAAGACTTCGTGTGGGTGATGTCAGCATCTCCATGCTACCCCCATGGGAATCCACAAAGATCCGGAACATTTCCTTTCCCCTGAACTTGAAGTCCTGGGATGTGTCTGTGCTTGATCACGTGTGTCTTGTCCTGTGTTCGTCGTCTGTAGCTTTGCCCCTGTGAGGACTGGAGTGGGGCAGCTCCTGGCATCCCAGACATGGCTTCAGACTCACTTGTGGGAGTGGCTTCTCCTGGATGTCATCTCCCATGATAAAGATAAAACCCACACACCTCACTGCTACCGCTGCTGTCATTAATGCTGTGCTCACAACCTTGTCCGGGATTTTCAAGATGTCAGACTGCTATAGATGACTCAATAAATGTCTTATCATTTTTCCTTGTGGCTGTAACTTGGAAGAAGGGGGGGGCAGGGAGGAGGTGGAATAGGAGGGCTCTCCTTTAACATCTGTTCACCTTGAGTGGACCGACTGCAGACTGTGACCTAGTCTACAAGGGGGAGTCCAAGGGAGAGAGACCAGCACAAGCCTGAGTGTGCTCAGAATGGAATTGGAAAAGTAAAGCCCTGACGCAAGAACCTGCAGGGATCATGCATGTTGAGTGGAGTCAAGGTCACTTGGATATTCTGTATTCCTTAAAATGAAAGCGGCCACCCCACCGACTCCGATGCACCTTGGCCTTCCTATTGTTTTTTAGGCGTGGCTGCCAGACATCCCCAGAGCTTGCCTGCAGTGAGCAATTTATTCCAGGTCACCACAGTTGTCCAGAGTCCCCTCCCCTAATGTGTAAGGATATTCAGGGCATCAGCCCTGGCCAGACCAGATAAACAAATGCAGGAAACCCCTGTTCCCTGGAGGCTCTATTGATTGCCACGGCCTCCAGTGCCCCTCGTTGGTTGCTAGCAACAGAAGATAGTTGTGGCTTATAAATTAGAAAAAGTTTACAAAGAAAATATTGGCAGCCCGTAGAATTCTCATAAAGCTGAAGAAACCAGATAAGCGTGTGGCATGCCTTGGACCTGACGACAAACCTGCTGACACTGCTGCCGCCGATCCAGTGACCTCCCTTCCTTGCCAGGGACCTGACCCCGCAGTGACCCCAGCTGCACTGCACAGCCTCACCAGCAGATCAGCTTCCACAGCCGCATTTTCCTCCAGTGCTCACTTCTGGCTCACGGTCTCACGAGTTTGTTGGATTGTCTGTGTGCTACCGGCGAGGGAGACTGGAAATTTGACTTTTCTATATTTTTTCCGTAGGAGGTCATGCTCTTAAGGCTGGAAATTTTCTAAACTTAGCAACATTATTAAAAATTCCTGGTTTAATAAATGCCTGCCACAGCAACCACTAAGCCAGCTTCCTTGGTGCCTGGGTCGGCCACTCTGACAGAATGGAGTCAACCTAAAGGTGAATCCCAATCAGAAAGGCCACTTGCCAGAAGCACCCAGGTGTCTGGTGGGCATGCTCCCCCACTGGGAGGCTGTCTGGTGCTGCCTCTTAAGGCTCCCCTCTCCTCTCATGGTATCCCCTCCTTTCAATCCTCAAGGAGATCACTAGAGTGCATCATGTGGCCCATTTAGCAGATACCTTGAGTTGCTTCCAAAATCAAACTTACCCTCCAAGGGTGAAACTGAATCTCCCTGGGCATCAGATTGCTAACTACTCCCACTGAAGACCCCTCCACCCCCGGAGTTTTGAAAAATATTCTCACTGGTATGACCACAAGTTTTAGACATAGAGAGGTCACATTCAAGAAGCAAACATAAATAAATTGAGAGGCTTGAATTCCACACTAGACTGGGATTTCTTGGCATCTGTAAAGATTATCAAATTACTTAGTGCACATGAGTACTTATTAAATCCTGATTTCTCTATCCATTCCCCTAAGTTTGTCAACTAGCCCAGTCCTCTTTTCTCCCAAGTGTCTTCAAGGAATGCCTTTGACCCTGATCAGTGCTGACGAGGCTCTTTTCTGCTGGCACTGTAATGCCGCTTGGGTGCCAGTGGTTCTCAAGCATGAGGGTGCATCAGCAGCACCCAGAGTTTTGTTAAAACACATATTGAAGGACCCAGATCTGCAAGTTCTGATCTGGTAGGCCTGAGGTAGGATCTGATAACTTGCTTTCCTCAAAAAATTTATAGGTGCTGTTGCTGGTCTGGAGCTATACACAAGCAACTCTTGCTTGGGGACCGCACAATGAGGCAGATGAGAGCACAGGACATCAGCAACAGGAATTTGACTTTTCTTCCCAGTCTTAGGACAGGAAGCAAAAAGATCCAAGAGGGTATCAGCCCTTAGATGCCTATTTAGTGTCAAAGTAAATATAAGACTGTCCCCAGGCCAATTAGGATTGACTTTATTGGACTATAAAAAGGAAACCATAATAAAATGTGACTTAAAGAAGAAGTTTAAATAATTCACAATAAAGAAGTCGAGATGTAGACACCCAGAATTAGGAGGGTGGCCTCATGCTCTCTCTAAGGCCCCAGGCTGCTCTTTCTCCATCATCCTCAAATTGTCACTTACAGTCTCAGAGTCACTTCATGGTCCAAAGTGACTCCTGGAGTTCTAGATGTCACCAGATTCAGGGAAGTGAGAGAAGGCAAAGGAGCCCTCCTGGTTTATGCATTTTCTTTTACAAAACCTCTTACCCACTTGTATCTCATTGGCCAACATTTAGTCATATAGTCACAACCCACCACGAGGCAGACAGTGTTACACACCCTAATGAAACTGGAAGCAGAGAAGGGACACTGCTGGCAAATAGTAGTTCGTGCCATAGTCACAAACCCCCAGAGCTTGATGGGTGCAGATGGTGGTCACTGAGCTTGTCCAACTTGTGAAAATAGGCCTGATGAAAATAGAGAGGCCTGATGACCACATTTATGACCCATTCTACTAGAGTGGGAGCAAGTTAGGGGATATAGTTTCCATCCTGGACCACAGAATGACAGCAGGTTCTTCTGTCAGGAGAGAGGGCACTTTTCCTCCACCCACTGGAACCTAGTTGGAGTGGAGGTGAAGACATGTCTGCATCACTTTCAGCTTCTTCCTTGCTCTCTAGTGACCACCTTTCCTGAGGGAATTTTTCTCCTTTGTATTTCTACATTCTTTAAATTCCTTTTAATCTGGGGATCATCAGAGTAGTGTTGCAGTTATTAAGTTCACTTCTTTCCAATCTTTTTATTTCTGTCACTTGCCTTTAAGTGAACCCAATTTTGGTGCCACCCAACTTCCTTAGATGGCCTTTAGAGGGAGTGGTCCTTCCATCCTGAACACAGCATAACTTTTCCTGTTCCTGGAATCCAGACTACCAATCTTATGTGTGAAACCCAGTCACTCGGTCACTAAGAGTTCTGCTAACATTTAAGATGGAAATGCTTTTGTAAATGCTCATGCAGTGATAATTTCCCTTGACTTCTGAAATAGTTTGCTCCTGAATTTCTATGAAAGAGCCTCTGGCATGTCAAAATTTTTAGGAAGACAGTGGCCATCCTATGTGCCTTTCATCTATGTATTCAACAAATACTGGTTGATCATATGTCTCTTCATTTATGAAATATTTTATGAGTACCTGCTCTGTATCTAAAACTGTTCTCAGCCACTGTTGAGCATCATGGGTAAGAACCCTGCTCTCAGAAACTTCTAAGTAAAGAAGGAAAGCAAGGCAAGGTTTGAGATAGAGGGGTTCTCACATGAAGATTTGGGTGTGAAACCTCAGTTTTGGTTAGCTTCCTCCAACTCAGTGGGAAGGGCCTTTCTCTGCGCTCTCAGGTCTTTCTCTCCGGCCATCCCTCTGTTACTCTCCTCTTTCGCTCCCTGATTTCTTGCCTCTATTATTTTCTTGCTACTTTTCCTCTCTCATCCCATATTCTTCCTCTCTGCTCTTGATCTAGACTCAGGCATGGCTTGTGCTCAATATTTTCTTTGAGCTGATCTTCTTTTCTTGTTTGTTTGAATGTTTCCCCTGATAGTTGGGAGTCACTGTGGTTTTCTCTTCAACCCTATTGTCTTTAGACCTCTCAGTGGACAGAAACATCCATTCCTATGACACTGACTGTGATCTTCATCTCTGGGCATAATCTATTGGCATGGGCAGTGTTGTTCAGTAAGTACCATGGAGAGAGCCTTGTGATCTTGAGTTCCAGCACCACAGACAGTTCCAAGATAGTGTACCTACTTGTGAGTTGACACTGTGTGGTCAATTTTTCTGACTTGAATAAGGGAAGATCTACATTTTCTACATTTGTAGGCCTGAAACGCATAATTTCTGGAGGGTATTTAGTAAAATACACAAAAATTTAAATTCAGAATTAGGTTTTAAAACAAGTTGTTGTTGTCTTTTAAATTGAGAAAAGTTGACAGCTACTATAGAATCTAGAAATATAACATATTTGTCTTACTTTTTTACTTTTTATTACTGACCATATCTTTTTTGGGCAGAAATTTTAATATCATTTTCTAATCAGATCATTTAAATGCAATCAGTGACATGATTAATCAAAATTTGTGTTTTGTTATTGATAGTTTGGCCAGTACCAATGAAAATAGAACCCTCTACTTAAAACTTAACACATCTGATTTCTCACAGGCTAGCACCTTCCTGTATACTGTCAAACTTTGTTTCTCACAATCCCAGGCACTCACTGTGGGGTATTTTCATATTATGATATTATCTTTGGCCCTCTGCCTTTGTATGTAATGCTGAGTTGACTACAGGAGGATTCCTGAATGGATAATAATAATGTAGCTACACAAGCAAGCAACAATACACCATTTATTTGTAGCCCAGACTGAATGTATCTCTATCTTAACTCCCTCCTTAGATGGATCCTCAAAGTGTTCATGATCAGTTAAAACACTAGCCAACATTTGAGCTGACATTATAGAGGAGGAGTTGGAGGGAGAGACATTCTTTAAAACCAGCTTGGAATGAAAATTCTAGCTTTTCAAATTTCCCAAAGTCATAAGACCCGTGAACACATTTCTGGGATCCAAGCAAGTGAGGGACCCAGCAATTAAACATGAATGGGATCCAGATGTACCTGTTTCTCATCAGTGGAAGAGCTTCTTGCTATAAAGGCCTATAGTGCTGAGAATCAGAAAGTTCTGAGGTGCATATATTAAAAATATGCCTTGTGTTCTCTGAGGCATTCAAGGTGCCCATCAGATTGATGGTAGTAACCCCACCCATCCAAAAATTTCTTTTTGGGATTTCTTTAGCTATGAAGGAACACTTTGGAATCAGGAATGAGACAGAAACATTTTGTACTCACAGTTAAGTACTCTGTGCAGTAGTGCTATAAATAAGGTATTAGGGCCCCCAGAAGTAAATTAGTGAAACAAGTATTTGTGATTGCTACTTCAGCCTCCATTGCTCACTGTTCCCTGCAAGGAAGGGTCCCT